AATAGAAGCCAGAAGACTCTCACTTTTCGATGACTGAGATGTTCTATCCATTTTTTAAGGAACTGTACGATAGAATCAAAGAGTTCTTTGAATTGAAGGAGTGCATTATGTCTTTCAAGCCAGCGTGTATCACTAAGACTTTGTAACCTTACTCTTTTCGCCTCTGGGTGTTTTCAAGGATAGATCATTAAGTTCTAAACGTTCAACTTCCTAGCTTTTAGCTGAAACGCACAAATTTATTAACACTACTTACAACTCTAATTGTATTACGAACACAATGCAAACTACAATCTTTCACGATAGCTAGGTTTAGTTTATATGCTGCACAATGCTTGCGTACTGTTTTCAATAGAACAGAATGGCAACAATCAATCAGCTGATTCTGAGTTGTTTTGCCCAGATATGTAGTATTTTTCGGCGCTGTCTCTAAATTATTTTAGAGAGATGAATCACCTACATCAATAAAAGCGCTCGATTTTTTTTTACCACAGAAAGCTTGCCGGCACTATCAGGTCCAGCAAATAGTACGCAAGGCAAACAACCCATTCCGTTGTTAGCTATAGACTAGCCAGGAGAATTCCCTTAGTCAATCAGATCGGAATTTACCTTTTTGGCCACTCTCTGTCTGCTCTGGATTTTCATAACTACGAGGTGGTTCTAAAGACTTCGTCACTTAGTATTTTTGCTATTACACACCTGCGAAATATCGATTCAATTTATAGTGTAAGCAATGGACGTACTAACTACTGGCACTAGTTTCGGCTCTGTAACAAGAGCAAACAAGGTAGAGAATAAAGCATAACGTGACGTTGTAGACGTAGTAGAGCCACGTTGCAGCTACATATATTAAGGTTGTAGCACGAATGAGTAGGCTCGACTGGGGTAGTACCATGCTCTCACAGATTACCAGCGTAAAATAGCAGTTTAATGCTGCTGTGTTTTGTATAGTGAATGTAGAGAACAGGAGAACCTTTTTTACTGGAAACGAGGCATTCCATCTTAGTCCTCAGGGGTACCAACGCATCTGCATTATAAATATCTATCGAGGATAAATGTAGACGTCTATGGGCCTCAGTTACTACCAAGTGAACTGTGTGCTTGTTATTCACCCATATTCTTTAAAAAATAAATAACTAATTCAACAACTTGCCAACAACCAAACTAACTCTTTTATTATTTACTAGGTTAATCAATAAGCTTTTGGAATAGGACACTTGTCAATGAGATATAGAAATGCGTTCTATTTTTTCGAATCATAAATTCGTTAGTAGTCTAGGCCAGAAAGAACTAAATTAAAAACTACACCCAATTTTTCTCAAACACATTTGTCGGAAATTTAATTCAATATTGTTTGATTATAGTATTAGGGTGACAAACGAGCACACAGTCCACCTGATGGTAAGGGTTGTTGTGGCCTATAGACATCTACATCTATCTTCGCTTGCGAATTAAAAAAAAGCAGATACGTTGTCAGCCGTGAGGACTAAGAGAATGCCTCTTTTCCAGTAAAAGCCTCGTTTTCAATATTGTAACTGTTTAAATAATTTCTGTCTGATTTTTTTTTAACAAACAGTGTTTTTTTTTTGAAGAACTGCAGTCTACTTTGCCAGACAATGCTCCCTTATCTGCAGTAGCTTACTGGTGCGCTGAATTTAAACGCGCCAGAACCGCCTGCAATGACGACATTCACTACGAGCGGCCAACAAGAAAACATCAAAAAAATGGAAGAAATTGTTATGGTAGACCGACGTGTAACCATCCGTTATTTACTCGTAGTTGAGATTATAAAGATTTCGTTTGGGACAATTCAGTTTATTTTAACTCCGTGGCCGTGCGCTGTGTTCCTCGAATGTTAACAGACGCCTTAAACAAAGCAAGAGTTGACATTTCAAAGCTAAATTTAGCAATAATTTAAGATCCAGATTTTTTTGCGTTCGTTTCGTATCCGTAGATAAAACGTGTGTACAACACTATTTCGACCCGAAGTCGAAACACCAAAGCAAGGTGTGGATAATACCATCTTCCTCGCCAGCCAAGAAATTCAAGTTGTCTGCGTCTACTGGAATAATAATGACTTGTCTTCTGAGATGCGGCTCCGTGGCACAGTGGCTTAGCAATGATTTGCGGCGCTAAGGGCCGCGGTTTCGAATCCCGCACAGAACAAGTATTTGTATGGCCTACAAATAATTGTTCTGGGTCTGGATATTTGTCTTTGTGAAATCTATGTATGTAAACTGCCACCGCGATACAGGGGAAAATTCTAGTGTGGAGGTAACGTTTTTTTTTTAATAAGAATAATAAAGAATAAATAATAATGATCGACTATTAAGTAAAGGAGAGAAAATAACCGTAGATTATAACGCATCATTAAACAAAAACGCGATCATTACCGAGAATAACTAAAGAATAAACGTCGAGGAAAATTGCGTGCTGGAGTACTTTTCCATCATAATAATGAATATACGCTGCCATGAGCTGAGTTGCAGTTGATGCAGCAGACTTAGCTCCGAGTGATTTTCACCTTTTTACTCACCTAGAATAGCACTTGCGCACTATAACATTCGACGGCGATGATGAGGTAATGTGTGCTGTTGAGGCCTTTTTCGAGTCCCAGGATCAAGCCTTTTTACCAAGGGAATTAACCAACTTGCAAAACGTTATTCAAGGTGTATTAGCATAAAATGCGATTACGTTGCAAAATAAATATGTACCTACAATTTATATTTACTTATCCTAGAGTTTCATTGCCTTTCTAAAAACTTATTGATCAACCTAGTATGTTAGGTTATTGTAAATGGTTAAAATAATAATCATTAATCAATATGAACGGTTTTTCTTTTGTAATGGCATTAACTTCTAAAACGCGGAAAAATATCAGCTGTATTCCCATAAGAGTTACATATACCTACCTGCAACTTTTAGTTAACAACTTTGTTTCCGAAGTCAATAGGGATCATATTATGGATGTGTTGTGAGTGTGTGTGTATTGTGATGGATCTGGAGGTAAGCTGACCGTGATTCAATGCATCTTGTGATTCTGTTAAGAAGCCCTTGAGATGGCGTGCACCTGGCGTTAGTCGTAGTGGTGCTTGTTGCACTCTGTGGCTTTGTTTTTTCTCTTTATGGCTTCAGTTGGGCTCACACCTGAGTAGTTTAACCCAAGTCGGGTTTCTTGATATTTTTTGTGCAAACAGCCATGCAGGTTTAAAAGTCCAGTGTCACTGTGACCAGTAAATCTATTGTGATCGCGGGTTTCTTGATAACGAGGCTGCATATTGTCTGACCTGCCTGATGTTATATATATATATATATAACAACCTATGTAATTTCTCACCACGTTTTTACGTGGTAGAGCCATGCTGCAGCTATATTAGTAGTATAGTTGTAGCACGAATGGATCGGCTCGACCGGGGAAGGACCACGCTCTCACAGAATACCAGCGTAAAATAGCAGCTTAATGCTGCTGTTTCGTATGGTGAGTGTAGAGAACCGGAGGCCCTTTTTACTGGAAAAGAGGCATTCCATCTTAGTCCTCACGGGTGACAACGCATCTGCATTTTGATTCACAAACGAGGATAAATGTAGATGTCTATGGGCCACAGCAACCACTTACCATCAGGTGGACTGTGTGCTCGTTTGTCACCCTATCCTATAAAAAAAAAACACTCAATGAATACCAAAGCAAATTGTTGTAATTCTATTTTTATTATGCGTCTATTTGTATACTATTATATTTACTTATCAATTATTATTAATAAAAAATATACATGTATTATAGTTTTTAATTATTACAGTAACGATCGAATAATTACAGAATATTTATACAGGGTTATTTTTCAAACAGTATCCAAATTTAATAAAAATAAAATATAAATACTGTTACACCTTGTTTCGCAGTTAAAAAAAATACGCGTAAATAAGGTTTCTACTTATATTTGAAAATATCCGAAATTGAATGTGATTTATGGGCAACAACTACAGCATACGCGCGCTCGTGTGTGTACCAGTCAATGCACGGCGCTTTTGCCTACTATTTACTACTTTGATAACTCGCTCACCTCAATGGGTACTAAGTTGATAACTACGCGACACGAATTATGATGTTGCGTCATCCGCAAGAACTCATGTTCTTATTACTGAACGACCACCTCGACCACTTCCGTGTGACGGAGTAGTGAACTGTCTAAAGTCTAACAGTTTTTGGTTATCAAAAATTTTTTTCCCATTAGGTGGTACACGAGCGTTAATTCCTTGAATTGCAAAAGCGTTTTGAATAGCACAGACTCACTTTCGTGTAGTCTTATCGCACCACGTAAACTAATATTTTCGAATTTTTTCGTTGCGTCGTTGCTTATGAAGTGACAAATAATACTACCTACGAAACTTTAAAAATAGCACACTCGTACATAATGAGTAATGAGATCATGTTCAAGTAAACACTGTCGGCCGGCCGGGCGAACGTACTTAGCGGTGTAATGGTTAACGGAAGGAAAAGGGCGGGAAGACGCGCTTTTCTTTATCGAGTCAAAACAACTATAAGATACCTAAATCTGTAACCGAGCGAGACGCCGAGCGCCACCGACTCCTTCCGAAATTCGACACTCCCTTACGAAGTGTGTAGTAAAATCGTAGACGTTACATAAAAAAATGCATTTCCATACATTTTGAATATAAAAGATAAAAAGGACAAAATGTTTCGAATTTTATTATACTTATTTTTTTCACCGTTCGCTTATTACCTAAATATAACATACCTATTCGGATACAAATTTAGGTATACATTGCAAAATAACCCTGTATATACAGATCATATGTATAGCAACAGAATGTCTCTTAAATCTTATTATTATCACATTTAGCAAAACTAAAATAAATTCTATTGAAATGATGTATTTTAAACGATATGTCACTTAAATAACAGATGGACCAGTGAAAATAAAAATAAATTAAAACAAGGAAATGTATTGCGACTATCCCATGAGGGTATGTTGCGTTCGCTATCACACTGCGCTGGTGTTCTTCAGCCTCTGTTGAATTTCTCCTATAAATAAAAATAAAAATTAGTAAATGCAATTCGGAAAACAAAAAGTTATCAAAATAAGTTCCAAGTGTTTCTTGCTGATTCTTCCCAGGGGAGAGGCTTTTCCGAACTAGCGTAAAAATCGTAAAGGACTTTCTCTGAATTAAAATATTTCTATATAATTTCATTATAAATCAAAAATATCAATTTACTATACTGTGTGTGTACAATAACCTTGCTAAGTAAGAACACTAAGGACTGATTTTCAATGGTCAGATAAACTGATGACTGACATTATTTAGTTGCAAAAATCAAATCAAGCAATGTATTTTAATATAGTTTTATAATTGTTATGAATTTTATGCGTCATACTTGTGAACAGGTGCTGCTTATGGATCTGCTGGTCTGCTAAGGTCGATATTCAATGATGAGCTTTAAATTTATAAGGTTTTCTTTTGGGTGCATCATAGAAATAATCATCATAGTGATGTGATTACTTCGCCGTTTCTTCTCCAATCAGAGGTTTAATAAAATGACATTTGAAAAACATAATCTCATTTTATTACGTCGAATAAATAAAAATATTTCATATCATAATTCATTTCATGTTACTTCAGTTTATATTAGTCCTGATTGTATTGCAGTTTCATTCCAGCCTTAGATAAATAAAAAGGTATCACGTATATATCCATTACAGACTATAAAAGTCCACTGCTGAACATAGGCCTCCCCCATACATTGTCTTATAGGGAGGAGTTTTCCATAGTTGCCAAGCTTGGCGGGCGGGTCGGCTACCGCAGTTTTCTTATAATTTCGAGATGTTATTAGGAAGATGCTGTCCCTCTCCTATTTCAATTTACCTCTGCCGTCTCTTACGACACCCACGGGACGATATGGGATAGTTGATATTCTTACACCGCCACTACACGGCCAATCACGTATATAACTATATAACATTGCATATTACTTTCAAGCTTTCATAATTTATAAATTTAAAAATAATGTAGTTTTCAATACAAATACATTTTTAAAAAATATTATCTACATTTTTTGCAGACAGTGACAAAATTACGTAATGTGGTAGTTTCAACACAGATGGGCTAGTAAGATATTTATAGAACATGGGAAAGTTTATAAGGATATTATATCATTGTCCGAAATAAAATAGTTACCTTACTAAAATTCTAAACCAACAAAACACTTACGAAATATAAGGCTAGTAAACAGCTTTTTCAACTGCAGTCAAATCGATATTTTCATGATCACTCCGTATTTTTGCTATTTTTTTTTTAGTTACTTTAATATTCACTTTATTATATTCCTTAAAAAGATTATCAAAGATATATCTATTGTGAAACTACTCACTAAGATCATCTCCAATCGGACATTTCTTAAGGTGCTCTGTTATTATAAGTTTCAACTCCGCCTTCTCCGCTGTCAGTCTTTTGTTGCTCTCTCTTAACTGCCTATTTTCCTCGCTTTGGCGCCTCATGGTTTCTTTTAAACGTTCCCTAAAATATAAAGAAATGAAAAGTGACATCTTATCTATACATATAAATAAAATCGAAATAACTGTTTTTGTTGTTGTTAGTTGCTGGTTTATTTGCATATAATTAAGACATGAATAGCCATTTTGAAAATGTTTGTCTGTCTGTCTGTCCGGGCCAAACTTTGGAATAGCTGAACCGATTGTAATTACACTTCATGGTAAGATAGGAAATAGTGCCAGGAGTGATTTAGGCTATATTTTATCCAAAAACCTATATTAAAAAAAACACGGAAAATTTATAAAATAAATGGTCTTTAATTATCTTAAATCCAAATAACGCCACATTAATAGATGCTAACCAGGCGAAGCCGGGGCGGATCGCTAGATATAAATAATGACGATGGTTACAGATGCGTTCTCACCCTGAGCCTATGATTATTACCATTCTCTTACTCTTCAAGCAGGAACTTTACAGTGACTGCATTGCTGATTGGCGGCAGAAATAGGTAAAAGAGATGATATCCATCCAGACTGACTCTATGAATAAAAGAAGCCCTACAACCTAGTAAGAATAGTAAAGTCTGTGAATTTTAATTTCTCCAACATGATAGTTTCTTCATGATGATTACCTTGTATATCGAGTGTGGTAAATACCTACCTACAACAACAATTTCTATGGTACTGGCGAGGATCGAAAGGTGGTTTCTAAAATACTATGATATATTTAAATAAGTACCGAAGTATTAGACGTGGGCTAAAGAGATGGAGTATTTTCAAACATACTCTGCCTTCTAAACTCTTTAAAAGTACACTGCTGAACCTTTGATATCTACCAAAGTAAAATTATTTGCCTGTAATCATTTTTTCTTCTTTCTTAATAACTGGCTTTACGACTCTGAGTTCTAGCCCTTCTGAGCCTGAAGTTACAATGTATAATTATCCTTCATAGTACACTGCTTCACAATATGTTGATGCGTCACATTGTGCAGCCCTTGGGAGATTTTGACGGCAACTTGAGCCAGCAGACAGCTGACTCTCTAGTATAATATATACAGTAATCTATGCAGCTGACAGTTAGCGATGGTATCTCAAGGCGCCTATGCAAACAGACACCATATCTTGAGAATCATATCACTATTAGAGCACTTGTTTCAGCGTTTCCACTAATGATTCACATGCGTAGACATTTAATACACAAAATTGCACCACTTTTACATATCAAAATCCACTTCAAACCGTTATTTAAACAATAACACAGTAGCAGGAATCCGTCGCCGGTCAAGTTCCCGCCAAAAACTCTTGCCTGTAATCACTACGCTCTACTACAGGTAAGTTGGCTATCACAGTATGGGATGGTTGACAGATTTTACTGTTCATTACGTCGAGGATTATGTTATTTTAAAATCCGAAAAATATTTTTACAAGATAGATGTACTATCATATTAAGATATTCTATCATAGTCTACTGCAATCCGACATTCTAGACTTAGTTTAGTCTTACAATACGCGTGGCATCGAATGGTGGGTTTTAACAGTTTACGAATAATTTAATTCAATGAGAGATATAGTTATATGTGAAAACATTATGTTGTATACAAAAAGAAACAACTATTACCATATCAAACTAAAGCTACCATACTAGCACTATTTTAAAAACGTAAGCCCTTACTCATAAGGCGTATATGTTTACTTCTTTAAACTATAAGTAACACACCATGACTACTTCGTTGGTCTAGTGTTAGTAAAAGCTCTCTCGCTGGGTTCGAGTACCGGTTAGGGCAAAATAAATCAGTTATTGAGATTTCCGTCAAGAAATTTTCAGTAGCTGCCCGGAGTCAGGAAGTTGGCAGTGTCTCACTCCTGTGCACCGGAAATCGCGTAAAGCCGTTGGTCCTACGCCTGATCTCTCTCCGGTCGTGTCGCTTTACCGTCACATCGGACTACGAGAGCGAGGGAATAGGGAGTGCAACTGTGCTTGTGCATACACATGGCACTGTAATCCTGTCCTACGCCGATGGTTGTCTCCGTTGAGACTGGCCGCTGTGACCGAAATTCGGTCTGGAGGACATTAACACACCATACTTATTACTTTCCATCTATGAAACTGTATCTAGTGTAGCATAATTTATTTACGATATTTAACCTATATTATAAGGTTGTTAGTTTTTGAAGTCTCGGAAACTATATATTTACATTTATTTAAACAAGTCGTCACCTGTATCGCCTGGATGCAGCGCTTCTACTTTCTAAGTAATGTTTCGAAGGAGACCCTCTTCCCGGCGTTTGTGTATTATTATTATTTTCTATTATCACACAGTCGTCGTCAGTTAGAATAGAGTTATTCTGGCTTTCTCTTGATGTTGTTTCTGTATTAGCTTCAGATTTGTTTATTTCACTGTTTTTATTATTTATAATTATATGTTGCTTAGTTTTATTATTAGAATCTTTTCTCGGTTTTCTTTTTACTGCCTTATAGTTATCTGGCTTTTTTAGTTTCACAGTATTTATTGGCACGACAGAAATTTTCGCCATAGGACTTTGCTGTAAGATTGTATTTACAGGACTAATTATTGTCACGGGTATCAATGTACCTGTAGAAATAGGTAATATATTTTGTACTGTTTGGGCATTCTGTATACTCGACAGTCTTTGAAAGGTGGGAGATTTAAAATGTGACGTATCTTTGACTTTGTTGGTTAACACTTTTTTAAGTTTCTCTTTAGTATCTGTTTGCACTGTTTTCTCAGGTGTTGCATCTTCTTCAACAGCTTTCATTCGTACATGCTTGCCATTTGGTAGTTTTATGATAACTTCATAATCATTGTCCTTTAAATCTTTTATATTGATTTCTTTACTTTTACCATTTAATTCTTTCTTAATATTATTTACACCAGGTTTAGGTTTATCTAATACTGAGGCACCGGTTTTGTTAGCATTATCATAGTTTCTTTTAAGAGTTTTATGTAATTGTTCTTTATCTTTATCAACTGTTGATTCGGTGTGACATGCATCTGAAGTAAGACTATCCACTACAAAATCTAATGACTTCTGACTCATTATAGGCGGAATTTTTCCTTGTGTTACGTGTAATTTATTTGTGTCTGTTAGCAAAACATCTTTTGACACTACATTAGTTGCGTCTTTGATAACTGAATCCGTATACGATATCATTGTCACAGGAACTTGTGTATTTTTTGAGTTTTCTATATTAACAACACTACCGTCTTTTCTAATTTCTACATTACTGTGTATTTTTATGATATTATTAGTGTAAGACACTGAAGTTTCGTTAACACCATCCTTATTTCGGGCTGTTTCTTCATGTCTAACTATGGAAACATCATCTGTTGTTGTGACTCTGTCTAATACATCCTGCTTGCCAACCACTCTGCTTATTGTAGTGACTTCGTTTGTTAATTTTGATATCGTTGTGGTTTCGTATTCTTTAACCGCTCCGGATTCATCGCTAGATGATCTGTAACAAATGTAAACCAATATTAATTTTTTATTAATTATTTTATTTAAGTAAACGTAAAATTCGAATTAAAAAAACCAAATAAAATAATTTAAGATAAAGTGTACCAATGAATTAAAATTAAAGGCCCGACTTCAGAAGCTAATAAATTATATGGATTTTTTAATTAGGTTTTTTAGTTTTTTTTTTAAATACGTTACCCCCCACACTAGGATTTTCTCCTGTGTCGTGGAGACAGTTTACAAACATAAATTGCACGAGGACAAACATCCAGACCCTTTGAGTTGATTAAGAATAATCATAACCTGAAGGTTACTTTTAGTCATCTAAAAAGATAAATTAAAAATTTTATCCAGTTTTTCCACCTATAGGGATCTAATTTTTAAGTGTTTAGTGGGACCGCATTTAAATTTGAAGTAAAAATTCCAAATTCCTCTGAACCTATTTTTTACAGACTTCAAAAAAGAGCCGGTCCTCAATTCGCTGTAGATTTTTTTTGTGTGTTACCTTATAACTTTTTACGGGGTAAACCGATTTCAATGATTATTTTTTATTTGAAAGCTGGTGCTTCACATGTAGTCCCATATAAATTTAACCAAGGTCTGACCAATAGTTTTTGAGTTATTCTTAATAATTTATATTGAAGTTGGTTGTAAAAAAGAATAATTTTAAATTAAATAAAAAAGAATCGTTAGAATCGGTTCACATTTGGCGAGATACAACATGACATACTTACATAGAAAAAATGTAAATTACAAATGGTTTAAAAATATATTTCTTTTAAAGGACAGCTAAAAAAATAGAGATAAAGAACAGTTTAAATAATAGGAAGTGGCGTCTGCTACACATGGACACATGCAACCAACTTTGAGCAAAAATGTTACAGGTAGTATTGTCACCTTTGACAATTAAGCCATGCTAGCTGTAATTCAATATACTTCTTATCCTATAGACCAGTGGCTCTTAACCGATTCGTTGCGGCACCAATTTTCGACAACTTTTAGCTGTGGCGGCGAACAAATATTTCACACCAACTAACTACAATACCCATCATTTACAAAATCACACAGCTGGTCATGGGTCCTGAGCGCCAACGACGTCTATAGTTGACAAAAAACCCGGCCCACAAAAATATGAAATATAGATAATGGAAAATTATTACTGGTATTTTAATTCTACACTCCTCAAAAAAGAATAACCCAGCAACATGTGAGTATAAAAAACAAATCTCCTAGAGCCACAAGTACTAAGAAAAATTGAACTAAAACAATGGATTTTTCTCTAAGCAAATACTATGTCCAGCACGCCAAAGTCGTCTATGGTTGACCGTGACCGCTAGTGTCGTACGCGGGAGGCAAGGATTTCTTGAAAACTATCCAAAATTCAGCTTAAACGTGTTATTTTTTTTCTATTATCATTGATATTTGAATAAAATAAAAAGTTAGAAACATGAAACTATAATTGGCTACATGAAAAAAAAATTAATCATCTTCACATAAACGATTCCTCAGAACTTAAACTTAATTTACTAACATGGATATTGCCTATTTTATGTAACAATTAATTTTATAATATTTTGTTTAATTTTAAATATAATAAAGTCGATACAAAATGACACACTGTTTCCCAGGCGACTCTTGTGAGCACATTTTTTATGTTTTTGTTTTCGAGTTTAAAATAACTCATCATGTTTATTTACTTTTATACTGCAACTAGTAGATTTTTTTTGTCAAAAGGTAGATAATAATATTGTTTAGAGAAATATCTTAAACCATATTTCAGCATAATCCTTCTGAAAAGTAGGCACCGTGAGTAGACTATAAATTATAAATCCACCTAATGAAAAAGCAGTATAGTATATCGATTTTCTACCTTTCAGTATTACAATCGTTCCAAATAGTATTGTGAGTAGACTAAAAATCAATCTAATGATAAAGCATTAGGATCTAAAATAATTAATAGATCTAAATAACTATATACAATTGTTGATTGGTGAATAATTATGTACCTTATTTTATTTTAATAATAAAAATTACAAATAATAAATGTGTTTTTTTTTTTACTTAAGGTATGAAGAGCAATTTTTCATTTTGTGTTGTGCGATTTTCTTTCTCAATCTCAAAATCATCTGCCAGCATCAGCATCATATCAAACCCCCATTGTCATAAGAGCGTAAGACTTTTCTTCTGCGCTTCACTTGGCCTACGCCTCCCCCGACACATAAAATATTTTGAATCGATGTCTGTTTATTTTGATTAGCTTGATTTCGAAATCGATACACAACGTGCGACACGGCTACATCTCTAAGAAAGTTTCAAAAAGGAAAGTCAGCTACGCCATTGTCGTCCAGTCGTGACAGTGACGTCATCACGATGGAGAGTAGTGCTGTGGTTTACTACTATTTTATTGTTATTGTTTGTTTTTTTTATTTATGTACAAAGTACATATATAAAAAGTGTGGAAGACAGCACAAGATTAAATAAAACATACCAGATTATAAAGAGTCATTTATTGCATAAAAAACCAACAAAAACAAGTTATCTTGTGTTATCGATATAGCAACTCTTGGCAACACTATTTTTTTCGTAGGTATTTTTGTTTACTTTTCGCTTTGGCGTACAGGACACGGTAATGCATTTTTGGCGTGGCGGTCAAAAGGTTAAACTTTGAAGGGTACAAATCAAGAATTACCTGATGGGAAATATTTCAACATAAATAGACATGTGCTTGTAATAATTAGGCATTAAAAATTAGTATTAATAAGGCTTTACGTATAAAATGTTATTCATTAACGACTTCATAAATATAACAGTATTTTAAGGCCCGTTATTATTATAAAATTATATGACCATTTCAGGTTCGAAAGATTTAGAGAGGGTAGAGCCAGAAAGGGTCAGCTGGCAATTCTTTTTTTTTAATTTTTTTTTTAAAAAAACGTTACCCCCACACTAGGATTTTTTCCTGTGTCGTGGAGGCAGTTTACAAACACAAATTGCACAAAGATAAACATCCAGACCCAGAACAATTATTTGTAGGTCATACAAATACTTGCCGTGTAGTGGCGGTTAAGAATATCCACTACCCCATATCTTCCCGTGGGTGTGGTAAAAGGCGATAAAGGGAAACAGGTAGGAGATGGGCAGCAGCATCTTCCTGATAACAGCATAAGTACAATAAAAAAACTGCGGTTGCCAACCCGCTCACCAAGCGTGGCAGTTATGGCAAATACCCCCCAATGAAGAGAGCAACAAAGAGACGGCACCCAGTCCCCGGTGGCCCCGTTATTCCTGGCTACGGTGGCGACCATGGTAACGGCGGGGCAGGGGGTGCTAAGAATCTCCGATGGAGGTTCGGTTGCCACCTAAAACGACTCGACCTGGCAACATACAACGCACGCACCCTGAGGACTGACGAGAAGATCGTGGAGCTGGAAGAAGAGATAGACAAGTTACGCTGGCATATTATAGGATTATCCGAGGTCCGAAGAGAGGGGGAGGACACGGTAATCCTCGAATCCGGCAACTTGTCCTATCACCGGGAGGGCGACCATCTGTCCCAAGGAGGTGTCGGATTTATCGTCCACAAGCCTCTCGTTAACAACGTTGTAAAGATTGAGGGTGTGTCGACGAGGGTTGCGTACCTTATACTCAGAATCACCAAACGGTATTCGCTGAAGGTCATACAGGTTTACGCACCAACCTCGGCACTCCCCGATCAGAAGGTGGAGGAAATATATGAGGATATCTCTTGAGCCATGCATTCCTCCAAACCATTATACGGTGTTAATGGGAGACTTCAATGCAAAACTAGGCACAAGAGAGAACGGTGAGCTGAAAGTAGAGAAATTTGGAATAGGGCAACGGAACCCAAGAGGCCATCAACTGGCCGACTTCATGGAGAAAGAGGAACTCTTTATGATGAACTCTTTCTTCCAGAAGCGGCCCCACAGTAAGTTAACCTGGTCGAGCCCCGATGGTTCGACAAAAAATGAGATAATAACTGTTCAGTGATGTCTCAGCGATCACCGAATGGTTAGAGGCACACTGAACCTAAATGTTAAGTTGGAGAGATCTCGTCTAATGAAGTCAACGCTCCGTCCCCCTCGTGCTCTGTTCCAAGGTCCCGAAACCTTTCAGCTCGAGTTACAAAACCGTTTTCAGTGCCTAGACGACTGCAATGAAGTGGACGATATGAATGACAAGCTCGTGGAAACTGTCCATGCGGTTAGAGCTAAGTTCTGCAAGATCCGCCGCAGAAGAACACAAAAACTTTCCGATCACGCTCTTAATCTCATAGCTCTTAGACGGGAGATGAAGCTACATTCTTCAACAGATTTGACAGCATACAGGCAACTGAACAGACAGATCTCCAAATGCATGCGGCGGGACTTACGCAACTTCAGTACAGCTTGTATTGAAGAAGCGATCGAGCGGAACCAAGGCTCCAAAGTCTTTGCCAGATATCTGTCTGCCAGAAAGAACCAACTGTCAAAGCTGGAGACCGAGTGTGGCAGTATCGTTTCCGGGACACCTGAGATTTTGAGTGAGATTGAGAGGTTCTATGGGCAGCTGTACACGTCATCGTTGGAGCCACAAGCAAGTGTGAGTAATGATCCAAGAGCGTGTCTTATCCGACACTATTCCAAAGGTATCCCGGACGTCAGTCTGAGCGAGATTAGAATGGCTCTCCAGCACCTTAAAAACGGCAAGTCCCCGGGCAAGGATGGAATTACAGCAGAGCTTCTGAAAGCGGGTAGAAAACCGGTACTTGACGTCCTTCAAAGACTCTTTAATTCCGTCCTCCATGGTGGCATTACACCGGAGGCGTGGAGCAGAAGTGCGGTGGTCTTGTTTTTCAAGAAAGGTGACAACGCCCTCTTGAAGAACTAAAGACGCATTTCCCTTCTGAGCCGCGTCTACATGCTGTTTTCGAGATGCATTACGAATCGTCTCGCGCGCAGACTTGACGACTTCCAGCCTCCCGAACAAGGCGGTTTCCGAAGAGGCTTTTGTACCATAGACCACAAACACACCTTTCGACAAATTGTACAGAAGATAGAAGAGTACAATCTTCCACTATGCCTAGCGTATGTGGACTATGAGCAAGCCTTTGATTCCGTCGAAATTTGGGCAGTGCTGCAGTCCCTTCAGCAGTGCCAGGTTGACTGTCGGTATATCGAAGTGCTGAAGTGTTTGTACAGTAGAACTACGATGGCTATCCGAGTACAGAATCAGAGTACGAAACCTATCCAATTGCAGAGAGGTGTAAGACAGGGTGACGTTATGTCCCCGAAACTCTTCACCGCTGCATTGGAAGACGTTTTTTAAGCTACTGGACTGGAAAGGATGCGGTATAAACATCAATGGCGAGTACATCACTCACCTTCGATTTGCCGACGATATAGTCCTTATGGCAGAATCGCTGGAGGACCTAAGCATTATGCTTAATGACCTCAATAGTGTCTCCCAAGGGATAGGTCTTAAGATGAACATGGACAAAACAATAGGTGTGACATGGACGTTAAATCATGTTTAAAGTCCATGTCACACCTATGCCGGTAGTTGTTGGGAGCAATAAGCCTGAAGTTGTTGACGAGTATGTTTACCTGGGACAAATAGTCCGACTAGGTAAGTCCAACTTCGACCGAGAGGTCAATCGACTCATTCAACTCGGCTGGGCAGCGTTCAGGAAACTACGACGCACCTTCTCGTTAGACATACCTCAAAACCTGAAAACGAAATTGTACAACCAGTGCCTGTTGCCAGTGATGACTTACCGATCTGAGAAATGGTCCTTCACTGCTGGCCGTATGAGGAAGCTCAAGGTCGCTCAGCGAGCTATGGAGAGGGTTATGCTAGGGGTGTCTCTGCATGATAAACTTAGAAATGAGGATATCCGCAGTAGAACCAGAGTGACCGACATAGCTCAACGGATTAGTAAGCAGAAGAAGCAGTGGGCCGGCCATATAGCTCGAAGAACCGACAACCGATGGGGAAGAAAGGTTCTTGAGTGGCAGCCTCGTACTGGTAGGCGAAGTGTAGAACGACCCCCCCACTAGATGGGTAGTGACGACCTGGTGAGACATGCAGGAAGTCGATGGATGCAGGTGGCTCAAGACCGTGCTTTGTGGCATTACTTGGGGGAGGCCTATGTTCAGCAGTGGACTTGTGAAGGGCTGTATGATGATGATGATGATACAAATACTTGTTCCGTGTGGGATTCGAACCCACGGCCCCCAGCGCAGCAACTCATTGTGACGCCACTGCGCCATGGAGCCATCAATTATAGTAATATGCTTATTTTACCTGCTTATTGTAATATTCCTCTGATTATTGGTAGTGCTAAATAATGCACAGTCCCCAGAATCGATGATTGGGAATACTAAATGTGGGGTATGTAGAACATCATCTGATGTGGTGGCCACATTAGCCCCTTCCAGTGATGAAATTCCATGCCTGGAATAATCATAAGATTAAAAAGTTTTAGTCAGAATTAAGTAGAATGAACTGAATATAAGGTATGTTAAGCTGGAATGGTTATTTGGGCAAAATCACTTAAATATTTGCTAAATATTTTGTGCTCATTTAGTGCTAATTTAGTGCTGCAAATTTAAATTTCACGCCAAAATAGCTTGATCAAAAATGAGAAAACCTATTAAAACGATAACCGCTTAATACAGCACCAAATAGAAGCATCAATAATTTAGTGCTCATTTAGTGCTGCCGATGTACGCAAAAACAAATATTGGGAAAATATATTTTTTTTAATATCATAAATTCTGCTACTTTGACATCTTTAGCAGAGTATGTAATGAACAAATTGACATCCAAGTGGATTATCGTCTAATGATATGAGAAAATAATTTAGTACTCATTTAGTGCTGCCGATATACGCAAAAACAAAGTTGGAAAAATATTTTTTTTAATATCATAAACTCTGCTACTTTGACATCTTTAGTAGAGTATAATGAAAAAATTACATCAGAGTGGGCTATCACATAATGATATAAGATAATAAATTAGTGCTCATTTAGTGCTGTCGATATACGGAAAAGGATTTGGAAATTATTATTTTTAAATACCGTTAACTGATACTTTGACATCTTTAGCAGAGTATGTGATGATACATTGACATCCAAGTGAGTTATCATCTAATGATGTACGATAATAATTTAGTGCTCATTGAGTGCTGCCGATATACGCAAAAACAAAGCTTGGGAAAATATTTTTTTTTATTTCCATAAACTCTGCTACTTTGACATCTTTAGCATAGTATGTAATGAACAAATTGACATTCAAGTGGATTATCACCTAATGATATGAGATAATCATTTAGTGCTCATTTAGTGCTGCGGATATACGCGAAAACAAAACTTGGGAAAATATATTTTTTTAATATCATAAACTCTGCTACTTTGACATCTTTAGCAGAGGATAATGAAAAAAATTACATCAGAGTGGGCTATCACATAATGATATAAGATAATAAATTAGTGTTCATTTAGTGCTGTCGATATACGGAAAAGGATTTGGGAAATTATTATTTTTATCACCTAATGACCTACCACCTATACAGTATATAACCTATACATACGATAATAATTTAGTGCTCATTGAGTGCTGCCGATATATGCAAAAACAAAACTTGGGAAAATATTTTTTTTTTATTTCCATAAACTCAGCTACTTTGACATCTTTAGCAGAGTATGTAATGCAAAAATTGACATTAGAGTGGGCTATCACATAATGATATAAGATAAGAAATTAGTGCTCATTTAGTGCTGTCGATATACGAAAAAGGATTTGGGAAATTTAGATGTCAATTTTTTCAGTACTTTGTACTTTTTACAGTACGTACACTTGGATGTCATTGTTTCATCACATACTCTGCTAAAGATGTCAAAGTAGCAGTTTACGGTATTTAAAAATAATAATTTCTCAAATCCTTTTTCATTATTCGACAGCACTAAATGAGCACTAATTTATTATCTTATATAATTAGGTGATAGCCCACTCTGGTGTCAATTTTTTCATTACATACTGTGCTAAAGACGTCGAAATAGCAGAATTTATGATATTAAAAAAATACATATTTTCCCAATTTTTGATTTTTTGTATATCGGCAGCACTAAATGAGCACTAAATTATTATCTCATATCATTAGTTGATAATCCACTTGGATGTCAGTTTTTTCTTTACATACTCTGCTAAAGATGTCAAAGTAGCAGAATTTATGATATTAAAAAAATATATATTTTCCCAATATTTGTTTTTGCGTATATCGGCAGCACTAAATGAGCACTAAATTACTGATGCTTCTATTTGGTGCTGTATTAAGCGGTTATCGTTTTAATAGGTAGAACACTGCTAGCTTAATTAAAAGCTAGCAGTTTTCTAATTATTGCTCAAGCTATTTTGGCGTGAAATTTAAATTTGCAGCACTAAATTAGCACTAAATGAGCACTAAATATTTAGCAAAAATTTAAGTGATTTTGCTCAAATGACCATTCCAGCTTAACAGACCTCTGAATATATTAATTAAAAGTATTTTTTTTTTATAAAACTGAAGTGACAAACAAATTTGCAGTCCACCTGATGGTAAGGGGCTACAGCAGCCCATGGACACCCGCAACCAATTTTAAACAAAGACAGCTACAGATGCATTGTCATTGTCACCTCTGAGGACTAAGGTAGAATGCCGCACAGCTTTTTTTTTATAGGATAAGCTTGTAATTAGCCGCGTCCACACAGGGTGCACAGGCCAAATGCTTGGTCTGTGATCTATGTGGACGTGTATCGGATTCGTTTGGGCGCACGTTGTCTCGAGTGAGCATGCCTCGGGGTCAAGCCGTCGGCTGTCGGTGAACAGTACGCGTTCAAACGTGCCTCAGTATAAGTAGCGGCACGTAAGTCTAGCGGAGACCGTTATTGCGCATAAGTCACGATGGTTGACTTATTGCGCGTAAGTCGCGCTGATTGGCTCGTGCGTATCGATCGCACGTGCTGATTGGCTCTCCAGTCGCATTCATGCAATTCAATTTGTGCACGTCTCTTCCACGTTTCGTTCAGCGCTAGTCTTAGGTGCCGTGACTTGTATGCGCTGTTCGTTTGACGTGCACGGGGGTTTCAGCTCGCGAGGCTATTCTGCAGATGTATTGTCGTTTGTCATGTAGCTGTTAAGGGAATGTCATCATTATTATGAACACTCAAGAGCAGTTGATTTGTTTTAATCCAGGAGCATCTTGGTATTTTTTTTAAACGTGACTGTTTCCTTTTTCATAAACAATAAGCTACTATGAAAGTAGCTGCAGCAAAAATTACACAACTGTCCAATTTGGATGCTCAAGGACTTCTGATGGCTCGGCCTGCCTTGCGAGTCTCGCTTCTGCGTTTACGGGCACACTACTGAGGCTGCCTCGTGAGGCCAAGCTTGCAAGCCTCATACTGAGGCCGCCACGCGAGCCCGAGCGCCCGGTGTGGACCCTGCTATTAAAGTCAGGCCAACCTGTAAATACTGGTTATTTCAGACCAGCACAGAACAACCTGTAAATACTGGTTACTCCAGACCAGAACACTGCAGTGAAAGTATTGGTATTTGGCGGCACAAAATATGTAATGGGGTGGTACCTGAATAGGTAAGAGAGGGTGGTACCTAATAGGTAAGTGAGTGTTACCTTTGGGTGTGGTGGTTGATAAAAATCTGTCAAAAAGGATTTGGTCTGGATTACAGGTAGTGTTATTATCATAGCAAATATTGTATAAACTTATGTTTATGACACAGTCACAATTATATGAAGAAGCTAACAAAAATCTTCCAACAAGTATCTACTTACTTAGTTTCCATCGCCCGTTTAAAGCCTTCATCAAATGGATTGACATTTTGTAAGTCTTGAAATAGCCCAACTTCCTCACAATTTCTAATGAAGCGAGTAGGGGTTGGAGTCTGATCAGCTAATGAAAAGTAAGGAAATTGACATTTTTAAAGAATATTTTTGATTAACTTTCAATATTTCAATAGTTAGGCATATTTTTAGATAATTTTTTTGTTTTCACAAAAATTTGTAGATACAACTGGATTTTTTTTTATAGAATTAGCGTGACAAACAAGCACACAGTCCACCTGATGGTAAGTGGTTGCTGCGGCCCACAGACATCCACATAAGTAGATGGTATTTGACATATGGGTGCTGACAGAATAACAGCGTTGTAGATTCTCTGCAACACATGCTGAGTCAGAACCCTTTCATTGTCCTTCTAAAAATATCATTTTTGTATTAGTTTATCTTTTAAATATTTTATTACTTTTGGTCAATGAATAAATATTTTATTATTATTATTATTACATACATCCTCGATTACAAATCAAAATGCAGATGCATTGCCACCCATGAGGACCAAGATGGAATGCCTTATACTGTACATATAAATTAAAACAGTATTCGAAATAAGTTTAAGCTTATTTACCCACAAATGCTGCCTTTTGCTCCAAGCCAAGCTGCAATACCATATCATGTTTTTTCGTATGTACATGGAGATGATCTTCGTTTGTAAACGTCATCCCACAATCCGGCATAGAACATGCAAAGGGCTTTTCAGGCTCCATTGCATTAAAATTATACCAATATTTTTTGTTAAAATTCACAAATGGAAGTAGTAAAACCTGTTATCATTAAACATCAAGGTATTTTGTCACAACTTCATTTCAAAACCATTTTATCTATAAATGTATTTGTTTCATTTTTCGCACTAAGACTGAAGATCATATTTTTATTTAAATACACACAACTTTCAACGAAAACAATGCAGTAAAATTTATAAAGCAGGTGCAAAGGGTGCCTTATCTATGAAGGGTGCAAAGGCAATTGCCACCACTTCCCTATATATAATGTACTCTGTGGCCACCACCTTGACATTGACAAATTGACAATCTTTTTCTTTTTTTTTGAAGTTTATGGCCTGGTATCTAGACCTTTAGGCCAAGTCTTAAGTATTTTTATTCGGTTTATTGTAATTTCCCCACTCCTTCATAGTATACTGCTTCACAATATGTTGATGCGTCACATTGTGCAGTTCTTGGGAGATTTTGGCGGCAACTTGATCCAGCAGACAGCTGATAGTTGGCGATGGTATCTAAAGGTGCCTATGCAAACAAACAGCTTATCTTGAGAATCCATCACCATCAGAGCACTTGTTTCACTGTTTCCACTAATAGTTCACATGCGTAGACACTTAAGGCTTTAACTAGCCTGAATGACCTTGACGAAACGGCGATCGCAGAGATTTTAGCCGATGTTAACACCGTCTAGCAACTACGTTCTGTATTACTTATAAAAGTGCAAAGATTAATAGACTGCAGAGATGACAATTATATAAGTGACATACTGCCTGTTATGCTTGCGCATCACTGAGAATTATGTCGCGGTTACGCATCTTCAATTACATTGCACGGTGTGGTGCTGCAGCTTTGTCCGGTAGGCATCACGAGCTATCAAGTGTTCAAGTTTCAAGTTTCAAGTACGTAAGAATTTTTATTATATATGTTAAATCGTATTTATTTGTGTCGTATTAAAAATATGTCGTCAAAGCGTTCGCTGTAAATTTTCCCGGGTTTGATCCCGACAGCACGAATGAAATTTGTAATTGCAATTTTCGTCAACACGCATTGGGGAAGCACGGCGGGCATTTCCTTGCCCTAAAACCCTCTCAGAAATAAAAAAAGAGTCCTGTGCCCAGTAGAGGGACTTGTATAGCCTATTACTTTACTTTGTAGCAATATTTATATTCGTTTCAGATATAGAAGGGTACTTTATGCTGACAAAAATATCATGTGGAGGCGACGAAAACGTAAAACACCTTTGTACCTAGATAAAACGTTCGAAAGATTGTCAGTCATGTCATACGCCACATTTTCTATAGAGCGTAGAACATTGCAGATAGGGCAAAATAAAAATTAATCCAATATATTATGGGAACTATTTATTAATAATATATACATTTATAGGTATATATAATAAAAATAAAGAACAAGCTACAAGGTTCAACTAATTATGTTTTTTGTAAACACAATCGTAAAATTCCTGTTTTAATTTTTACCAATGGTTAATTGATGAAACGTAGTCAAGATCACTTCATATAAAATATATTTAATTAAAATTGACACGTGACCTATTTGGCCTTCTACTTACAACTCGGCGGAAATTTAAAAAGAAGATTTTGTCTTTTTGCACAAGTATTGTTTACAACTGGCGTGGTTTCGAAAAGCGTGATTAAGTGTCAGCGGTATATAATCAATTAAATACTGAACTTTATTGAAATTTATTTTTTTATTTATCTTCTTAAAAACTGACGCCATCTCACTATTTTATTATTTGGTTTTTTGTCCGCATAAGGATAAATTAGACTAAGTTAGATTAACTTGGATAAGTTTATATTTTTTTTAATTTTATCACAAAATTTCCGCAATAAATTATTACCTTTTCTACAGTGATTCTCTCCTCTTAGTTTCGGCGTGACTGTAGGATGTTATAGTGAGTCACCGTCAGTTATTAAGCGGCCATAAATCATTATACGTATGTATAGACATACATATATACATTTTTTGATTTTAATATTTATGTTTTTTGAATTTTGATTGATATTTTGAAGCCTTGTAAAATTACTTTTTTCCATACCAATTGATGGGCCTGAGTATAATGCCAGTTATGCTCTTTGGCTGAAGTTATTTTTTATTTTATGCTCGATTGCAGACAAAACAATATTGATTGCGCATTTCTAAAACAAAATTTTACCTCTTCTTCTTCTAATAATAACTCCTGCACCTAACACGGCAGAATAGTTATTATTATCTATAAGACTATTTGGGAAAACAGTTTTTGTTAACAGTTATGAGTGTAACATTTTATCAGCTGCTTTGTTTATAGTGCCTTGAGCAACACTTTGCCGGTTTCTGTACAGAAAATGATGCTGGCTTTGCAAATACGGATGGCCGCTACCATTGAATATAATTCCCGCTATGTTTTACATCGAAACTTTAATTATCATTTGCATAAAATTCTAAATAGCACTTTTTACACAAGAAAGTAAACTTTTAGATCAGTCCATTTTGTTTTTCACTAATTAAGTAAAAAGTAAAACAAACCAATAGGGCCGGGAATTAAAATTTCTTGCAACTTTTTATAGAAAAGCATGACCTTATCATAATATAAAAGTCAATCATTTAGCCATGTGATAAAACTTTTAAGTGTGCCAGTCAAACATTAATGATGATATTCGGGTCATTGTACTGGAAATAGTCTTTTAAATATTTTGTAGTACAATTGATAATCTTCAGCATGACTGACCGTGTATATGACTTTTATAAGTCTATGTTATTTTTGATGAAAATTATTATTGCAGATAAAAGCCCTTTCACATTTATTTTAGTCTCGAATTAAATTAATCAAAATGAAAATAAGAACTTTGGCTCTTTATAACTAATCTTTAAATGTAAAACACTGACTTGAAATTATATAACTATCGGCATTTTTTAATTCATTGAACTTTTTTAAGATTTTGTTGCAACTCTACTGGTAAAAAAAACAAATATATATATATATATATATATATATATATATATATATATATATATTATAGTTCTTGATGAAAATAATGTATACGCGTTACATCGCATCCCATCAAGACGTGATAATAACTGTAAACAATAGAATAACAAAATAATGAAAACATTTACATTTACATACAAAACATTTACAAAAATACTTGCTTTATAACCTAATAAATATTATTTGACCGTAATAAAATAAAACAAGGTAGTCTTGGGCATGAAAGAAAAAATAAATATTTTCGATTATTTTTGCAATATCTAACAGACGGATCAGCGGGCGATTCTGATCCATCTAAAGATGCTAAATTTCAGCAAGCACTGTCAAATTCAATAGGAGTTACAGGAAAACGGTTCTTAATATAGAAAGGTAAATAAATTATTTAACCTATAAAGTAAAATCACTTTATTACAAATCAAAATAGCCCAATAGCTTTATTAACATGAGACATAATTGTACGAGTGCTTACAATACTTAACATTATTTTACTGAAATCTCAGAAAGTTTTTTTAAATAGAATAAGGGTGACAAACGAGCACACAGTCCACCTGATGGTAAGTGGTTGCTACGGCCCATACACATCTACATCTATCCTCGATTACGTATCAAAATGTAGATGCGTTGTCACCCGTGAGGACTAAGATGTAATGCCTCGTTTTCAGTAAAAAGTTCCTCCGGTTCTCTACACTCACCATACGAAACACAGCAGGGTTAAACTGCTATTTTACATGTTATTACGTGAGAGCGTGGCCCTTCCCCGGTCGAGCCGACCCATTCGTGTTACAACTATACCTAATAAATATAGCTATAGCATGGTTCTACCACGTAAAAAAAATTGACGTTGAAAATTTAAGTATTTTTAGAAGCAACATTGCAATTATTTTCTATTGAGTTAATTTTTGTGGAATCGTGTTTTGCAAACCGCCACCTGAAATACGTACAATTTTTTTTTCGATAATGACGTGAAATTACAAAACCATCCCCATGCATTTCAATGTGGCTCTATTCAGGCTCTTAATATGAACATACCTCGGATTTCAGAGATAATGGAAGATATAATATTATATTATTACTGTTCCGTGTGAGGCAACCTTTATACTTATATACATATTCTCATCATATTTTTATGGTTGGTTAGAAAAATTATATCTAAATGCAAACTTTCACAGGGTAAATTTTTTTTTTACTATTTTTACCCAGCAAGTAGTAAAGCAACTACAATCCCATCGGTAAGTGGTTATGTAGTCTAAGATGGTGAATTGCACTGACTTAACAAAAACCTATTCACTCTTGACTAATAGTACTAGGTAAGTATTATTTGCGACCTATTTGTGTGTGTGTGTGTGTGTGTGTGCGTGCGTGCTTGCGCGCGTGTGCGTGTGTGTGTGTGTGTATGTGTGAAGAAAAGCGTATGAGAATACGTGAAGAGGAATAAAGGTTGAGTACTAATTCGCTTACCTGTACGAGGTTGCCACTCGAGGACCTTTCTTCCTATTTTTTATGTTTTCCAAGTTATATAGCTAGCCCATTGCCATTTCACTGTAATATTCCGTTGAGCTATGTCAGTTACTCTGGTTCTAATGCAAATACCTTCGTTTCTAACTTTATCACGTAGAGAAACCCCTCTCCAATTTAAAATTTTTACATTTTTTAGATGATAGATTGTCTAACAAAAAAAAACCATTAACCCAAGAATGTCTTTATATAGTTATTTATACTTAGGTAAGCACCATTCTTTTATTTATTTAAATTGTTTGATTTAATTTGATAACAGTGTACCTAAATGTAAGTATCTGTATCTTTATTTCTCTGCCCAATAATATTTTATAAAGTCATACTTATAAAAACAGCGTTTTATTATTATACATAATTATAAAATTCATTATCAACTAATTAATAAAAATATGCAATAATAAAATTACAAAGGTATTAAAAACTATCGCAATCTAAGTAACGAGAGCATGTTCGTCGTTCCACATCTAAATTATATAAAAATGCATTTTTCAATTTCACTAATCAACGTCGCCGCAAAAATTTTTTCTTCTTTGGGCACTTTAAAAATTCATTTATTTAGAAAATAATATTTACAGTTACCAGTGTACAGATATTAACTAAATTAAGTATTTCTAGTCATAAAAATATTTATAATTGAGTATAAACTTTTAAAAAACTAATATATATTTGAACGAAGTCCCTCCAACACCGACGTGCGGTCCACCCTCGACGATGTCCGAAAACGGACTGTGACAGAGCTTACATGGAGACGGAGCATGCGCGCTCGCG